CCGCTGCTCTGGCTCCAGAGAGGGATCAGGAGCCGAGCTACCTCATAGGCAGTTCCATGAAGCGAGGTGCAGGCAAGTCCCTGGGTCTCCTGGGCTTAACTATCTACTGCTGAAACAGAAGGACCTGTTATGGGAGAGAAGGACCTTGAAGGGCTATACCACACAAGGACACAGAGTGACTGGAGACAGGAAAAGGAGAGAGGAGTGTGAACTAGCGTTACGGAAAGAAAGGTGGAGGGGCTGACTAGGGGAAGTGGTATGTGCGGAACACGGGGCTGCCTGCTTCCTCTGCATCATCGCCTTCGCCCTCACAACCACCTAGCCTGTCACAGACTTTTTACAGATGAGGAAACCCAAGTTTCTTAACTACTAAGCAGGGTGACTAGGAGATAAAACCAGCCTGTCAGACTCCAAAGTTCACCCCGTGGGAAAGTTTCCGAGAACTGGCTTTTGTTTGATCTTTAAACGACTGGAAACACCAAATGTAAAAGAAAGAGTCAAAGGGCCAATCTGGTTGGTCCATGTGGAAAGGTGATTTAAAACATTTAGTAACAGCGGTATCTCTTAGATTACACCTATGTACGGAGGGGATTCACGTTAACGGTCACATTTAACCCACTACAACCATATGAGGAAGACACCATATAAGCTTTTTACAGAGAGGAGAACTGAAGAGAGATTAAGGAATTTGGCCTGAAGTCCCACAGCCTGTCTACAAAGGAAAAGGGATTCAAATCCAGGCCGTCTGGTTCTAAACCCGCCATTCTTCCTCACTGGTCTCACTACTATTCTCTGCTATGATGTGTCCCAAAGATACACCCTTCTGCCAAGGAGATGATGATGGCCCAAGATGGAAAGGTACATTAGCAACACCTAAACATACTAGAGATACAGAATAAACTCCCAGGTTTGGTTCTGGTCTTGTACCTCTAGGCGGTGTGGGCCCTTGAACAAGTCACTTAACCTCTCCGAGTCTGTGTGATCCCAACATTAAAGTAAGGGGTCTAGACTAGTGCTTCCAAGTTTAATGTTCTGGGACTACCTTCACTTTTTGGCATCCAATGAGGCTGAAGTTCTAAATTTGCAAGCCTTCTAAGGACTGGCACTTTGCCTGCTCAGTGAATGGTTCTCGTACTTCTTGCCTAAGCCTATCAGACCCAAGAGAAAATGAGACCAGAAGTCCAAAAGGAGGAGAGAGCAAGCAGGGGCTACTCCAGTCTGAACAACGGGTGAAAGATTACACTGCTTTTGCAGGCCTGCCTCTCTTTAATCATCTTAGTTTGATCTCTGCAGGGTCAGCAAGAGGCCCTGGCATACGGAAAACAGACCAGAGCGAGCTGGCTCACTGCTGCCGCTGGTTGGGTCGGGAAGCCTGCTCAGGAATGTGTACTGGCTGCTGATGGGGAGCCTGTCACCCAAGGAACAACCTCATGAAATGAGGAGCTAAAAAACAGGAGGCAAATGCTGGCACCAAAAATCAGTGTCAGCAAGCAGTTGTGATCTACTTGGAGACTTCCTGGAGAGAGGGGACCCATCTGATTTTACCCAGCCCATTCTGTTCCCATCTAGTGTCTATTCGGAAGCAAGAAACCACCGGCAAATGCTGGTGTTTCTGCAGAGGGGCAATAAGAAACCACTTTCCAGCTTTCATCTAAACAGTCTGTAGAGCTAGCTGGGTGCAGGTTTTTATTTCTTACTATATATGCCAGACAACCACAGGCCAGAGAACATGAGTACATGAATTCCTCAGATGGCTCTTCTCCAGCCGCCAGGGGCTAACGCACTGTCCTGGCAGAAGCCATCCCCCTTGGGAGTCTCAAAGCCAGACCACAAGAGCCCCTTGATCCCACCTGGCAGCTAGAGATGCTGAATGACCTGAGAAAAAGATAGGGAATGGGTGGTGGCCGTTTGTAAACTACTTCCTAGAAAGTAAACTTAACAAAACAAGAAGGTAAGACGGAGGGAGTACCTGATATGTAGAGTTGCCTGCTGTCACTTGGAACTTGGGACTTACAAGATCACCTTTGGAGATTAGGTCTCTTACCCATAGCTATTTGGGAGGGAAAGCCATTCCCTCTGCCAAAGCAAACGAGACCCGTCTGCTGCTATTTTCATGCTTTTAAAAGACTTTTTGTCCTAAAATGTACTACAGCAGCAAGCTAAGGCAGCAGTCAGGGTTGGGTAGGAACACATGACTTCTTATATCAACAAATCTCCAAAGCGCAAAAGAAAAGAAAAGAGGGATTGGGGCAGGGGGACTTTTTTTTTTTTTTTTAAGAAAATAAACCAACCGGTTTTATTTCTGTAAATAATCTTAGGTCACATGACTAAGACCAGCCAGCTTTCCAGAGTAATTTTCTTTTTAAAGTGTTCTTACTGGTCCTCACCTGGCATACCTCAAATATACTAGAGCAAGAATATATATCCAGTCGGAGGCCTGAGGCCAGTGTGGGCTGGCTAGAACCAATACTACTTGCCAAATCCAACCAAGCCAACAGACGCATGTACTATAAAGTTTCCAAATACCAAATAATGAAGCATTTTTGGTCTCTGAGCTCCAGGAATGAGCTACATGTTTAATCCCACATGCCTCAAAATAACCAAAAAAGGGCCATATCATTCTACTGACCCACACTTGGAATCTTTTTTTGCTGTCACTACTGATCAGGACAGGTCAGGCTACCCACTTATGTGCAAATCGGGCATCATTAAGGGGCACCGGATTTCTAGGTTCGCTACTCTTTTTGTTTCTGCTCCAGCTTTTTCAGTTTCCTTCCTGGTTTAAGAGCCGAGGGCTATCCTGGATCTGTGCTCCGTGGTATCAGAATAAAAATGGCATGCCCGCTGCATTCTTCATCTCTGCTTTTATGCTTACTGCTTGTTTTCTTTCTTAAGAGACAGCCTCCTTAGGCCCCGCTGAAGGTAAACCATGGATGAGGCACTGATTGCTGGCTTCCAGTTGGCAAATGGGTACCAGCCCCCCTAGAGGCTTACCTGACTGCAGATGAGTAGTCCTCAAACACCCAATTACCACATCAACTGTTCACTTTTCAGTCTCCTTCTGAGCAATTCAGTAGTCACAAAGTGACTGAAAAATAGTTAACTGGAGATAAGCTTTGGTTTTTGCCCCTAAGTAAAAGAAAGGCAAGAAAGGAAACTGAAATGAGTTGAAAGATGAGGAAGGAACCCAATATAAAGATGATAAATGACTGCATCTAAATGCCTTAAAGGGGCACCAGAATTACCACAAATGTATAGATGTGGTTTCTAGAGCCACCCTTCCTCTAAGAAGGCCTCAGGTTCATCATGTGGTAACTAATCAATCTCTTAAATGTTTGTTAATTCTTTAAAAAAAAAAAAAATCCAAATCCATTAAGGCCACATTTATCAGGTTTTTCCTAGAGGCCTATGATGGAAGCTAACTGCTAATGCACAGTAGACGGGAAGAGGAAGAGGGAGAAAAGAGCAAGCTGTATAATAAAAGAATATCTGTTTTCAACCACATCAGTAAACTGGTCAGAGAAGTGAGGCCACTAAGGCTTTCTCTCCTGCAGCCAAATTCAGAAGTATTACATAGTTACTCTGTAAAGTTTAGAAAATACAGAGCTTAAAAAATCCCACCACTTACAATTAATATTTGAGTATATCCTCTTAGTCTTTTATATGAGCACATAAGGACGGCACACGGAAAACACATGCATGTCTACATTATGCGCTTAGAACTTTCGAACAAAAGTGGGATCATATTGTACACTGTATTTTGCAATCTTTTCCATTGAACATTTTTTCATATAAATCTTCTCCTCTCACAGAATGCTTTTATACAGCAGCAATTCTGGGGCGCTGGGATGGCTCAGTCCATTAAGCGTCTGCCTTCAGCTCAGGTCATGATATCAGGGTCCTGGGATCGAGTCCCGCATCGGGCTCCCTGCTCAGCGGGGAGCCTGCCTCTCCCTCCGCCTCTGCCACTACCCCCTGCTTGTTCTCTCTCTCCAATAAATAAATAAAATCTAAAAAAAAAAAAAAAAAAAAAGAGCAGCAATTCAGTGGTAGTACTGGTATAACCACAAACACACTAGTTATGTCATGTAATCCATAGACCATTTATAGCTTGCTACTATTCAATCTGTCAAAAATTTGGTGCTGTACTATAGAGGGTGTGCAAAAAGGTTGGGATTCTCTGTTGAAACATATTAATATTCAGGGGCGCCTGGGTGGCTCAGTTGGTTAAGCGTCTGCCTTTGGCTCAGGTCATGATCCCTGGGTCCTGGGATCGAGCCCCACATTGGGCTCCCTGCTCAGCAGGGAGCCTGCTTCTCCCTCTCACTCTTCCCACCGCTCCCCTTCCTTGTGTGTGCTCTCTCTCAAATAAATAAATAAAGTCTTAAAAAAAAAAGAAAAGAAACATATTTAATATTCACATAAGTCTTCCACTGAATGGAGGTACCATACTAAATCAGGTCAGTTTAGTCTCTTATTGTCAGACATTTAGCTTGCTTCCAATAGTTCACTGTTATAAACATTACTCTGATAACAAACAACATGTGCTTAAAACTCAGCACACTTATAATTCCTGAGAATAAAACCCTATAAGTGGAACCAACAGATCAAAGGATGTGTAAAAAAATTATATATATATATGTGTGTGTGTGTGTATATATATATAAAATCCAATCTGAATCCAAAGAACTAACATAAACTTTGTATAGTGTACTGGGAGTGTGCATATCTGCCAACTAATTCAACTTCTTGCAAAAAATCCTTACCAAAAGCACATTAAGACATTGTGTTTAAGGGAAAATACCCAACCACCAAAGGAGAATGGAAACAGGTTAAGAAAGATCACTTGCTTCACTGTGAATCACATCAAAAAGGCTGACAGATCCAATGAGTCTGGCTTCAAGGATTCCAAGATGGTGTTGTTACATAATGGGGAGAAAAAGATTAATCACAGGACACCTTTTAATTTTATCTAACTTTTCCTTGTTATTCTTTCAAAGAAATTCGACCTGTGCCCACTCCCATCAGAAAGCAGCAGAAGTTGCAGCAGCCGCTGCCACCACCAACTAAGGCCTCACGAATGACAGTCCCGGACCCAGAGATTCAGCGCCGGGGCAGAAGGAGCCGGCCCATGGAAGAGGCAGAACCTGAAGAATCACATTCCTACAGGGTGTGGGAGGCTCGTTCAAAATGGAACTGTGGGATCCCTGGAAATGGTTAATAGGCTGGATTTAACCTGTAGAGTTATTATTTGGGCTTTCTAGCTTCAGACTAGATCAAATGGTATGACTGCGTGCAACAGAGACTGGTCTGCGTCCCCAGCACCCAGGCTCTTCCTCAGGTGACTAGCCAGTTTTCACTAGAGAAGATCCTTCTCCTGAACTCTTGGCCACATAGTTGGGTGGGGCTCACAATGGACTATGTGACTCAGGCCCAGCTGGGCCTCACATACCCCTGGATTCAATGACTGGGTTAGGGATATACAGGTGACCTCAGCAGACAGAACAAATCTTAGCACTGAAAGTAAAGGAAGCTGGAGCTGCTGCAGTCATCCCGCCACAGAGAGCCACCAGAGAAAATAGTAATGCCTACCAAACAGTCACTGTGAGGATTAAATGGTCCCTTCTTATCATATGGGTCTCACTTCAAATGTATGTAGGACCCACGAATGAAATCACTGCCAAGAGACAAAGAGAAAATGAATTCTGAAGGCATTATCTGCACCCAGAATCCAACCGTACTACCTAAAGTCAGATCAAAGCCTGAGCCCCACAGTTATGCGAGCCAATGAATTCCTCTTTTGCATAAGCCAGATGTCAGGTTTTCGGTCACAACAGAGAGAGTCCCTACTAACAAACACATTGCTATGTCACTCAGATCTCTTCTGCTCACAGAGCAAAGAAAGAAGATCTGATGCCTAGGTTCTTCTGATTCATCATCCAGGACCAAGTTACTAGGCCACAATTTCACCCCTTAGCTGAACACCAGGACAAATAATCCCAAACTCGAGCAAACTGTAACATTCTATTGCAACTGGGTGGACCACCAGGATGCCATTTAAAAGCTGATATGACTAATGAGCAAAAGCACCCTTCCAATTGCAATTTTTACAACCTTCGGCCTCCTTCAAGCAGACAGGCCACAGAGCACTTAACAGCTGCTTTCTTCTGTTGTGTACGCATGTTCTGTCATCTTCATGTTCCCAAGGAGGAACCTCCTCCCAGCACTCAGACACCACGTGAAAAGCTGTAAAGCAAGAGCTCCTGGAAGTCTTTCTCTGTGCAATAACAACATGATCAATCTTCCAGCTGAAACAGATATTTGATCTAAACCACATCCTATGAAACTGAAAGGCCAGATCTGACCAGAATTTGGCTACCCTCTTGGTTTCAATTACTATTGCTGAAACAATTTCTCTCTGGTTTCAAGCACTGAAGAGCCTATTTAGAAAGTATTCAGGTTTTAAAAACTGTAACAGGAAATGCTTGTGTTTGTGTGCCTTTATTGGAAATACATTCCCTGCAGGTTGAAACTTGAGGCCTCAAGTTTTGGGGTTTATTTTTTTATTTCAAACAGTTACTTATTTCATAAACGGGCACTCATATGGCATGAAGCCAAAAGGTTCATTAACACATGTAAAGATAAGCAGGTAATTAAATCAAAATAGAGCTCTATACCCGATGGCTGGCAACCCGGTCCTAGAAGCTTGGCAAAGACTGACATCTGATGATTCCAGCCCCGTTCCTGCCCACTTCCCGCCCATACTGACCTGCCAAAATCGCTGCCACCAAATGGCATTGCAATGCTATCAAAACTCTGCCCTCACAGCTAGGCCCTATTTTCATGAAACAGATTATGAGAAAATCCTAAAATTAAGCAGCAGCACCATAAGCGCTTTTGGGCATCAATATCTTTGAAAATCCAAGGATAGCTTTGGACCCAGACTAAACTGTGCATACATGCACACACTCATACACTCAAAACTCTGCATCCAATGATTGGGGTCTGTGAAATTACATGTTAACTCTTCTGACATGCATCAGGGTTTTACCTACACTGCAACCACGTTCATTCTCCTCACTCATAACCCAGCTGCAGACACTGCAGCCCCTGCAGCCGCCCCAGTATAGTCTCACCCCTTCTGAGAAGGGCGGGACACGCTCCGCATGCACATGACTGCGTGTGTACAGCTCGGCTCTATCTGCTCCCCAGCGTATACTTAATCACCTGTGCCTCAGTTTTCTCACCTGAGAACTGGGAAAATCAAAGTGTCATAGTGAAGAATAAATGGCCCCTTCACATCAGATGGGTCTCTGTTAGAATGCTGAGAGGCGCTCCCCGGCCGACCGACCTAAAGTACCATCTCACTCGGGTCCAGCACACTATTTCATTTCTTCCCAGCACATTTCACTCTCTGAAATTCCTGTTAACTTCTTATTGTCTGCTCCCACTACCAGAAGCAAAGTGCCACAGGAGCTGGGATTTTATCTTATTCACCCCTTTGTCCTGTGCACCTAAGCTATGTCACATAAGCAAGTACTGGATAAGTATCTGTTGAGTGAGTAATAATCACTGTTATTTATTGAGCACTTCTGTACAAGGCACTAGTCTGTGTACCTGAAATGTATTGACTCATGATTGAATATAAGTCCAACCTACTTAGTGCTGTCCCTAGCACAAGTTAGTACTCAATAACCAGTAGCCGTTTATACCAATTCTAATTATATGATGACGTTACCAAATACTCAACAGTAAAGCGGTCGAGCCCTAAGGATGTAGAACTTCACCTCTCCAGAGCTGCTCCCTAAGGTCCAACTTCTCCTGGACTCCTCTCCTCCCAGCACTCCTCTACCTTCAGAGCGAAGAGAAAGCAGGAATTGTCTCCTTGTTCCACTTACTCTCCACCTCATCGGTTCTCAGATGATGCGACACAAACACAGCTTCTTGGCCAGCATATACCACCCCATCTCTCCGCATGCCACAAGCTAACTTTCACCTCAAACCCGGCAAGGGCCAAAGTTAAAGCTGAAACGGGAACATGTTCATCCTGTTGTGCCTCTTTTTGACATGCACCCCAGTCCCTTGGAAAAAATTCACAGTAATGATGGATAGCACTCCAGCCTCTCCTCGGAGCAAGGGACCAAGTCCAGAGGGTTCATTCAAGCAGCACCCTGGGAAGCTCCGAGGGCTTGCCAATCACGTGAACTCCAGTGAAAAGCCTTCTGGTGCTGATTTGAACTGCCTCTTCTTTACCTCAGTCAACTAAGGCATCACACATTTAAGGTGTTTGGAGATGCAGGGGCATAACCCAGCAGTTTTTTCTGAATACTGCATATTGAACACAAAGGACTCACGGCCAGTTTTGTATTTCTATTCCACTGTTACATTTTCTAAAATTTGGTTGATGACGGAGTGGCTTTTAAGTGAGGGCTGAAGCACACACCTCATCAAAGATAATGAGAGACGTGGATCATCAAGGCCCTCCATCTCTTTGGAACCACAGCGGACAATGGACTGTGTTTTATAGGACAGCAAGAAAAGGCCAAGAACTAAAGTCCTAATCACGGCCTTCAAAGCCAGATGCACTTGCCAAGAAAGCAAAGGGCAGATTCCACCTCCGCCGGCTGGCAGGCAGACCCACACATTCCGCTTAACCATGTGAAACAGCTAGCTTTTGCTCTCCCCGCCCCCGGGCCCAGTTATGATATTTGGGTAGCAACACCGGCGACTTTTCTAGGAGAGTGTTTTATAAAAATAGAGCTTCCAATTTTAGGTCTAGAACTGAAAAGAAAAATAGCCAGAATGAGAAATTTGTTTTAACACAATACATTGAAAATTACAAGTTTAAGTGCTGGTCGCTGAAGAGGGGGATCACACCACCACATGACTTCTCAGTGAGTCATAAAAAATAGTACAGGCTTGTTTAACAGTGGACATCCACCAGCACTAAGAGTTAAGGAGCCCACTGTGTCAGATGTCGGAAAGCCAATCTGACACTCCCGTGTTAGTTTTAGCTGTGGCAGGACTGACACAAATGAACTGCAATAGCAATTTACAAGACAAACGTTAATAAACGTTTATTGAGGCTATTCAAAGAGGAAATGTTTGAAACCCTGAACATGACCCATTTTTCAAAAGTTAAATCAGTTTAACAAGAAAAAAAAAAGCCCTCAAACTATTAATAAATCACGAACTGAAACATTTCTGGATTTCTAATACCCATTGTTGATTAACATACCTTTGTGTCAAAGCAAAAACCAAGTGCAGGCATTTAACAGCAAGCTGCCACCCTTTCAGTTATGAGAACCACTCTGGTGGAACTAGATGAGAGCAATGAGAATTCATCTTCAGGCCTGAGATGGATACTGTCTTGATAATAAGACAATAAAGACCTCCCCAAATGGCTTCTGGGTGCCATAAATTATATAACAAATCTACTTCTGCCAGGCAGCCAGGATTAACTCCTATTCACCCGGGGCACTACTTACTCAGTTATCACCAACTGGCTTATCCAAATGAAACAGTCATTAGCCACCACTGCCCTTCGAAAGGCACAGCACATCTTTCATTGCTCATCAGTTGGCTGACACCAGCTACTCATTGCACGAGAAGTCAACCTAACAATCTTTTTTTTTAATTTTTTTTTTTTAAAGATTTTATTTATTTATTTGAGAGAGAGAGAATGAGAGAGAACACATGAGAGGGGATAGGGTCAGAGGGCAAAGCAGACTCCCCGCCGAGCAGGGAGCCCGATGCGGGACTCGATCCCGGGACTCCAGGATCATGACCTGAGCCGAAGGCAGTCGCTCAACCAACTGAGCCACCCAGGCACCCAGTCAACCTAACAATCTTAAGGACATCTTTGGTACTTGTTTTTTCCAGGCCAAAACATTTTTTTTTTTTTTAAACCAGAAAGTTGGGGGGCCTGGGTGGCTCAGTTGGTTAAGCGTCTGCCTTCGGCTCAGGTCGTGATCCCAGGGTCCTGGGATCAAACCCCGCATCGGGCTCCCCGCTCAGTGGGGAGTCTGCTTCTCCTCTCTCTGCCCCCTCCTGCCGCTGCTCATGCTCTCTCTCAAATTGAAAAAAAAAAAAAAAAATCTTAAAAATAAATAAATAAATAAAAATAAAAACCAGAAAGTATTTCATTGGTTTCTCCCCTGGTAAGTTCTTCTGACTGAATTTTTTTAAGAATTATCTATTATGACACCTTATTATAATAAACAATTTGTTACTTCTAATATGCATTCAAGGCTTGAAGGCATTATATATCCTTTCCTCCTCTGGAACATAAACATTCATGGCTCCCAAACAGGTGGTCAAAAATAACAAGTCCAGGGGCGCCTGGGTGGCTCAGTCGTTAAGCGTCTGCCTTTGGCTCAGGTCATGATCCCAGTGTCCTGGGATCGAGCCCTGCATCGGGCTCCCTGCTCAGCGGGAGCCCTGCTTCTCTCGCTCCCTCTCCCACTCCCCCTGCTTGTGTTCCCTCTCTCGCTATGTCTCAGTGAAAAAAATAAATAAAAATCTTTAAAAATAAATAAATAAATAAATAACAAGTCCACAGAGAGAAAGGATGCTATTATTTCAGTGACTGCATCTAGTATTACGAGTTCCAAGAAGGCAGGGAATGCGTATGGTAACGTGAAAAGGGGTAACTGGCACCTGACAAACATTTTCTATAGAAGCAAATGTAGGAGTGCCTGGGCAGCTCAGTCGGTTAAGTGTCCAACTCTTGATTTCAGCTCAGGTCAGATCTCAGGGTCCTGAGATTGTCCCACGTTGGACTCGTGCTCAGTGGGGAGTCTGCTGGAGATTCTCTCCCTCTCCCTCTGTCCCTCCCCCTGCATGGGCTCTCTCACTCTATCAAATAAATAAATCATTTTAAAAAAGAATCTAATGTAAAATAAGCATCTACTATGTACCAAGTGCACTGCACAAATCTACCTACATGCATGGTATGAGCCACTTTTACACAATAATGTCCACAAATGCTTACATAAGTTTTACAATGTACTATCCATCAATTTCAAAAAATTTTTAAAGATTTTATTTATTTATTTGAGACAGAGAGCAAGCAAGCACAAGTGGGGCGGGGCGGGGGGGGTAGTGTGGCAGGGCAGGGGGAGAGGGAGAAGCAGACTCCCCACTGAACAGGGAACAAGGCGCGCTAGATCCCAGGACCCTGAGACCACGACCTGAACGGAAGGCAGACACCTAACCACCTGAGCCACCCAGGTGCCCCCCAAAATTTTTTAAAATAAGAGTAGTTTTTTGTTTGGTATGTATAAGGCTTTACCTAGTCCAGTGTCTTCCATACTTTAAGCGCAGCCTTCAGTGAGAAGTAATACTTCACTTCCGGACCATATACACACATGTAACTACATGTATAACTCAAAAGTTTCATGAAGCAGTATTTGCCCTCATTTCTAGGATTCACTCTAGTTTATGCTATTTCTTTTCTTTAGTTTGGTTTTTAATCATTGGTTATAACCCACTAATTAGATATGACCCATAGTGAGAAAATCTCAATCTCAAGATCAAACTTAAAGGTTCCTCCAACAGCCTTATTGTGCCAGACACAACACCAGGCA